AAATTTCTGAGATTTTAAATCTGTTATTTTACCTTAATTTTAATTAAAAAATATTTTGAAACCTGCTGATTACCTATAGTATAATTAAATTTCAATATAATGCATGGCAACTGTTGGTAGTTTTGAAGTTTATATAGTTTCTTGGCAAACTTCAGTTTTTGACGGTTTCAACCAGTATTATATACCCTTGTCATGTCAAAAACCACTTTGTGACATCAAAAACCCAACTCTGTGTGCAGGGTTCAAATTAAATGGGTTTCGGTGAGCGGGGTTTTAATCCCAGTAATGGTCGATACGAATTCCTCACCGGGCTCGCACCGACCTTAGTGCTGATGTATCCTCAATGGTAGACGAATCATGGGTTAGAGTCCCCTTACCGTGAGGCTAACTGTTGATTTTTATGGTTTTCTTCTCCATGTAAAACCAAATCTGGTTAGTTCTATCAAAAAAGTCCTGCACAAAGGAAAACTTCTCCCAATACCTTAATTAAGGAATTCCCCTGTCTTCTGGATTGGGTTCAAACTTACAAGGCTATGGAGTTGAACATTAGTAGTCGTAAACCCAAAATAGGTTCGGCTGACAAACGACGGCTATAAAATAAAATATATATCTTAATCAATATAATATAATTTTTTTAATTAGTATAAAAATGGAGCGCAGTTTTAAGATTTAGTCTTAAAAATAAAAAGAGAAATATCTAGGAAACTGAAATGGGATTTTAATCATAAGAACCTTTTTAAAAAAAACCAATCTGGCAATACTGTTTTCCGTTGCTTGGAAACAGAATTTGATTCTTGTTATAGTTTATTACAACAAGCTTTTAGGTTAATTATGAAACTTGTAAAGAATTACTCAGAATCAGTTTGCTTAGGCTATTCGAATAAACATATAATAAGATTATTTACAATCAGTCTTCACTGCTCTAAACTCATTGCAAAGTGTCTGAAATAAATCTGACTAATTAGTCGCATTGCTTATTGGGAAAGTTTCCAGTTGATGGCGGTCATTTGCAATGAACCACATTTTGCAATTAGCCTTCTTTGGAAACAAAAAATTTGGAAACAATTCGGAACGAAAAATTTCTTCAAGTTTAAAGTCTTCAAAATAATCAAATTTTTTTTTGTATATTTATTTAGTTACATTTATTAATATCTTACAGACAGCAGTGTAGTTAATTGACATTTGCTCAAGAAAAAAATAAAATAGAAATTCACCAAATTTTGAATGCCAGGAAAATGACATATTAGCTTAGAAGTTTAAAAAAACAGTCATTTTAATCCAATAGTAAGTAACTCAACTTAAACCTTTGAGTTAGATGGACCATGAATTGTTTAAATAAATTCTTTTATCCACTGTAGAAAGAATCAAACATGTTTTTGTTGCTGATATGTACAGGATAAAATTGTGTATAATAATCAATCATTAAATAAAAAAACTTTGATTACATTCAAGCCTATTACAATCTTATATAAACTTGATATTAGGTTAATATTTGCTTTCTCTCTTTACATTCAACTGTTTAAAAAATTTTCGGGTAACTGTTTTTTCAATGTCCTGGCATTCATAAGCCCGGAAAATGACAGTCAGGATAATGTCAATTTGCCATTATATAGCATTTAATTTCACTATAATTTAACATTTCGGCCTAAGATGTCTACATTCCGCAGAAAACAACAGGATTTCTTGAAATAACTCAGGTAAATCTATGTAGTTCATGTTATTAATGCTTTCAAGAAGACAGGAAAATGACAACATAAAAACCTACTCACCTTGAAAAATTTTTGGAAATAGGTTTTGAACCAGAAAGTTGGTACTTCGTTCATGCAATAAGACATGTTCAGATGTTCAGATAGGATGGTATTCAATCTATTAACATAAGATATTGATTGCTGGCGTTATCTATTTTGGTTATAAATCACTAAATAGGAAAATGACAGATTTTCTTGTGACATACAAATTATTGACAGAAAAAATTATTTTCAACAAAGTTTTTGTAGATAATCCCCTCCGCATATATTCTAGAAATGCTTACAACGGTTGAGATAAGAAAAAATTAGGCATTGAAAAATTTATGGGATGTTTTGAAACTAGTTATTATTGGAAATATTGTTTGCGACATACCAGGAAAATGACATTTTGAAATTCAATTAAATTTTTTAAATATTCAAAACAGCCAATGCTAGTAAAAGGTCATTTTAGAATACTAACAGTAATGCTATTTATTAAAATTAAAAAAAAAAAGAAAAAAAAGAAAGTTCTTTTAGTAGTATAGTGTTAGATCTTGAAGCAAGAAACAGTAAATTTTCATATTTCGTGAGAATCACCCACGTATATATATATATATATTCAAAAATTTCAAAGCTTACGTGAGATAGTGCCTTTCAAAAATAAATTAAAAACATATTAAAAGCAAAATAGCAATACTGGAAAAGTAATTTTTCAATTTATAATTAAAACATGATCAGAGAGAAAAAAGGAATATTGTCTAATAGGGAATTTATTAAAAGGATTTAACGAAGAAAAATATCAACCGGCACTTAAAAAGAACAAAGTTATGAAGTATTTTCACTGTTTGTTATTCTTCTTTTCTTATGAAATAACATTTTTATAATTTGTTGCCATAGTAGCGCGAAATGTAGGAAAAGTGGAGGGCGTTACTTTGGTAACAGAAGAATAAAATTTCTCAATAGCAGAATAAGAAAAGTAACTTTTCTCTTAAGAACCAGTCATCGGGCAGTGAGAAACATTCCATATATTTTTTCTTTTAAAGTTCCGAACGATTTTTTTATATTAAATTCTCACATACAACGAACATACATTGTTTTCATTCTATTTTTAATGATGTAAAGCATGTTTTAATTAAAAAAAAGTTTTTTTAAGGTTTAATTAAAAGATTCTCTTTGCAGTATTATGCTTTTAACAGTTTTATATTATCTATGAAAAACACTTGCTGTTTCACATAATACCAAAAACTGTCGAATTTACTTTTATTATTCTCGATTCTCGAAGTATAAGTTTTTTTTAATAAATAAGTGCAAGAAATTCAATCGCTTACAACTATCTGAAATTTTTTTTTTCGAAAATTATTTTAACTCTTAAAACATATTAGAGCCGCTTTTATATATGTGTAATGTCAAAAAAAAATCGATTTTTCCCTGTTACATTTAAGAAATTTTGATTAATTTGCAAATTTATGAATTTTTGAATAGGAAAACGAATACAAGTATTTCAGCATTATCTATTTTCTTTATTGTGTGTTCAATTGAATCGTTGTGTGTTGAAAGGGATTTAATCTTGCTAACTAATTTTAGATAAAGAAATACGACTAATAAGGGAATTACACATCTCAAAAAAAAAATTCTTATTTAACTTTCTAATTTTTAAATCTAATCATTGATAGCATCGTCGTTAGTGCACTCTGACTGCAACATGAGGTTGTAGATATTTTTCAGAGATCGTCAAAACGAGCTCTCTAAATAAGAGCCTCTCTCAAATATTTTGAATACATTTTAATCTACTTATTTGTTTTGTTAACATTTTATGTTCTGATATTTTTTTCATCTTTACTTAATTAACCTTTTTCGCATTTGATGTGAAGCATTGCCCGCTCGCTGGGAGAGTTTTTATTGGGCTCTCCTAAAGGTTTTCATCAACATAAAGTCTATGGAAAAAATTCCGTACCACCCAAAAGTGGTCGTAAATAAAGGAAGGCGTTACATAGAGGTTGCACTGTAAGTATATATATATATATATATATATACATACACCCTTGTGCAAATTAATTGAAACAAACTTTTTTTTCGTGTTTTTTAAAGAAGATGTTTTGGGGTTGTTTCGGTTACAATGGGGTTGGACCTTTGCAGCCTATTGACGGTATGATGCGTTCTGAGCAGTACATTACTATTCTGGGTAAAAAAGTTGTTCCAGAGTTGAAGAAACGATACCCTGATGGAACAGGGATTTTTCAACAGGATTTAGCTCCTTGCCATACGTCCAAAATTGTCA